TGTGTGTGTGTGTGTGTGTGTGTGTGTGTGTGGCCAACTCAGCCCACCAGGGGGCGGGGCTGGCTGGCATGTGGTGCTGTGGGATTGAACCGCGGTCCCTGTGCTTTGCTAAGCTTGTTCCAAGTAGGTGCTTTAGACCACTGAGCCATCTCACCAGCCCAATATTTTTATTTTTAAAAATTTTTTACATCATATTCTGTAGGGATGTAAAGTTTAACATATCAATACTTGAGGAAAAATAACTGTTCTATTGCATGACTAAGATGTTTGATATTCAGACAGATAGTGAGGTTAATCTCAACTGCCTAGGTTGTAGGGTAATAACAATAAGCTTCTGTTCTGGAGGGTTAACTACCTAAGTTTGCAGACCAAAAATTAGAGAAAAAGAGGGGCTACAAGGACAGCCAATATTTTGGCCCAAGTCTTTCAAGGTCAGTGAAGACTCAGGACATAAGAGAACCTGTACTGTAACATCCTGTAACTCAGTTATGCCCCAAATTTTCTGATCAAGGAGATTATACAGCCACAGAGGAAAGTGATCAATGATGTAGAGTGTGCCTTAGGAGAGTCTCATGGAAAGAAAACACTCTCTCAGGCTTTCACAGAGAGCAAATTGGTCAAGCAATGGCTGTGACTCATCCTCATGGCTGACACTGACAAAGGATCTACAAACTGCAGTACAGGGTTTCAGGATAAATCCTGAGGGGATTTGACTGACCTTATCGGATACAAAAGCTACATTTCTTGTTATATAGGTCTTGCTTTATCTTGGTCTTAACCACCCAGCAGAAAAATATAAAAACAAAGTATAAAAAGTAAAGCCACATTAATATGTTGAGTTGTAAAAGGCTCAAGTCAACAAATTCTGACATTGCCAGTCTTATGGAAAACACACTACTATTATGGACTACTGGACTATATTGGAATATTTTGCTGAATTCATACACCTATAATATTTAAATGACAATGGAATACCCTTCTCTGAAAAAACTAAACAAAAAAAGGGGATACAAATGAATGACCATTTTGTATCTGTATATTCAAAATAGGATAGATATGCAGCTACATTCTCTTAATTCAATGAATGGAAATATTTGTTCTAATAGAGTTTTTAAACAGGACATCATGTCTGCATCTTGTACAATGAATAACAACTAAGACAATGATATGCAATTTATTAACTATTGAAGCTGTCTTAATCAGATTTGGAACTGTCTCATTGCTATTTGTTTCCCAATAAAATTATTGCAAAAAAAAAAAAAAAGGTTGAGCCCTGCCTTTCCTTCTGAAAATAAAGTCACTAAAAGGGATTGTGGTGGTGCCTGCCCTTAATCCCAGCACTAGGGAAGCTGATTCAGGAGGACCACTCTAAATTCAAGCAGCCTCAACTACACAGCAAGACCCTTTCTTTAAAAAAAATTACCATGCATATTTCCAATTCTATCCTTTTTGTGATAGACAGATTTCCTAGTTTAATGGGAATTTTACTATAATTAGGCATTAAATTTAATCAGATGCTTTTTCCACAGATAGAACTTTTCCTCTTTTAATTATTGAGGTAATAATTGTCTCGCATGGTGAGCATGTGTTCTGACCCTGAGCTCCACCCCCAGCATCGGCTTCTCTAAAATGTTGAACCGATGGTGTTGACAGTGAGGCAAACCTGCACTAGCAACACTCTGGGAGGATGAACTAGGAGCGCTGTAAGGTGAAGGCCAGCCTGGGATACATACCCGGCCCCAAAACCAAGGTTTCACTTCATACTCCTGCAGGGAGCACCATGTGGTCATAGCCATCAGCCTTTTGTGTTGTTTCTTTTTCTTTTTTTCCTGAGCATAGAGTCTCACTACATAGTTCAGGCTGGCCTTGAAATTGTGAACATACTCGTGTCTCACCTTCCTGAGTACTAATATAATAGGCACAGGTCATTAGCCTGGTCTGAACTTTTAATAGAGATTCCTGGAGTGATAGTGAACATTAGGCCTACAGTCCTGCTGTCTGTATCTCCCCTTGGGAAATACTACTCTCTCCAAAACCTCCACACGGCTGTCCACACTTGGATCATCCCCATCTACATGTGGTGGAGTTTTCCAAAACACACAAGGGCAGGCTGGAGAGAGCTTCCAGAATAGGCTGAGCTTACAAGACAGTGAAGGCGGAGGCGTCCACTGCCTGGGAGGGTGACGCACTCCAACCCCAACTGTGGGGGTCCAGCCCACCAATAGTCCCCATGGTCCCCAGGGAGCAGTGCACAATTGCCATCTTGGTTTACTTGCAGAGACTCCTGGTCTCCCTCCCACTTGAATCTGCAGCCTTTCTGCCATCCCCAGCACCAGCAACACACAATATGGCTATGTCCCTCACTGGCTCTACCTTCAAGGCCCCTATCAGCATGACCCTCCTGCTCCAAGCCATCTGCCTCCAGCTTGCCAATGAGGATGCATCCTTAAGGATGTCACCACCAATTCCCAAAAGACTGTGCCCCCACGCAGGTGGGTTTTGGGTTTCCAAGGGAGATCAATGTGAGTGTCTGCAGGGTATAGGTATCTTCCCCTGCTGTCTGCTGGCATGGCACCCCTAAGGCCCCTCGAGGAAGTCACTTTGCAACCTTTAAGCTGGAGAAATGGGCAAGCACTGCACACAAAGGAAGGATGTGAGCAGTTGCCCCATCAGAAAGCTTATCTGCCATCAGGGGTCCTTTTCTCTTCATTGTGAGGGTTCCAGGCTCTAACACCTTGCAGCCAACTTGCTAAGTTCCCCTTGCCCTCTGGGTTTACCCACTGCAACGCGCTCTCATTTCCTGGCCTCCTGGGGAAAAAAGCAGAAATGAGAGGCTCCTGTGCTCCCACTGGCTCCTCTTGCCCCAGAGGTTCTCAGCAGCTGGGAAGCAGCAGCACCACCTGGGGGCCTTTGTGCACACACAGGCTGGGCCCATGCTTCCTTCAGAGCACCTGGGTTCCAGGTGATGCTAATCCCATTCAAGATTGAGAACCTGGGCTCCAGAACGAGGTCCTCCCTAAGCCATTTCTACAAAGAGTGGAGAGAACTCATTTTAGGCCTAGGCAGCTCCTGGGCAGATTCCCCTGGAAGAGAAAGAGCAGATCTGATTACACTCTGAGACCCAACTTGGATTTAAAAGTGGATGTTGTGGCCCAAAGCATAACACTGAAACTGAGAAAGAAGAGAAGAGCAGGTCTCCATGTACCAGCTACGAAGGAGGCTTTGAGCACACGAAAGGAGTCCAGGTTGGAGCAGAGATGAGTAGCCACAGTGACCAGGGTGAGTGTGGGCCAAGAACTACCTGGGGCTTCTGATGGCCCCATGCGCTGTGGGCACCAAGGAACTTAGGAACTCATGGGCACAAGACAAAGCCAAGCTCTGGTGACACATGTATCTGATCTCCCCAGGAAGGGCTGTGCAAGGGGCATTGTTCAAAGCCAGTGGGCGGGAGAGGTAGCAGATTTGAGCTTAGAGCCCTAAGGTTCGGGGGGAAGCTCCTTTGTTCTGGCTCATTTCTCTCCCTCCCTCCTCCCGATACAGATATTGGTGAGACAAGGACAGCCCCATCATCTAGGCAGCATGACCAGCCTCGTAACCTAGAGAGTGTTTGTGAAGGTTCAGTGCTTAGCCATAGCCTGTCCAAACGTGGGGATAGGATCGTTCAATTTTACAAATTAAACTTCGAGGAGTATGAGGCCTTCCAAAGCGATGAGTATGACCAGGACTCCAACGCCTCGGTAAGTGCTCGGCCAGCCTTGAGAGCCCGCCCAGTCCCTGGAACGTCTTCAGTTCGGTGCAGAGCATGCTACATAGACATACGGTGGGTTCTGCTGTCATACTCAGGATATGGCCAAGTACTAAGATGATGTGTCCCCAGGTAGATGAGGACCTGTGACCCTGCTCCCAAAGTGCCCACCATCTTCTCTCAAGTCCACCCTCTCTCCTACCAAGAGACAAGCACTCTGCTTGGAGTGAACCTACCTGTTGGGAACAGAGGACAGTGATGAATGGAGCTCTCCACCAGGGAACAAAAGGAATGTTGCTTCCCAGAGCACTAGAGGAAGCCTGCATCCGGTGGCCTGGGACGGTGCCTCAAATGCTGCTCCAGCCAGGCAGTGGGGGGTGGCAGTGGCACATGGTCCCCTGGAAGGAGAGGCAGCATGCGTGGAAGCTGTGAGAAAGGCTCGGAGTGGGGGGACAGAAGGGTCCTGTGGTGAGAACACACAGGACGAGTGCTGAGGTGAAGGAGCAGGAGTGGACAGGAGGTGTTCAACACAACCTGAGGCTACAGCCATCTGCTGGGTTTCCAGCCAGCGAGGGTCAGGGCAGCTCTGCAGCTAGGAGGGGATGGCGCTAGCCAGGTCTTCCCTTGTTGCCATCCAGGGACCATCCACTTTCCCCAGGCCGGGTTGACTGTTCCCATTGTGCTCCAAGGGGCAGCAGCTCCTCCTACAGTGTGGGGTCCCTAAGGGTAACAGCAGAGGGGGTTGCAGGGAGGCCCTTGGTGGGTAAGGGTCCAGGCTCCGGGGAGGCACACGGAGCCCTGTCGTGCACCCTAGGTCCCATGGTTGGTATGTGACAACATGTAGTTCTTGAACCTGAATTGACATAGAAACATTTCGGAGGAGTTAAATTGCATAAAGCCTTTATCTAGCATCTGGGGCATACCAGAAAGACAGCATCATGCAACTATTTATTTGTTCTCCATGTGGCTCAAAAGGTAAAATTTTGCAACCTTTAAGATTCTATGTTATTTGAAATATGGATTACATTGCCTCATGAGGCTGAGAGATCTCAACTCACATGAGATGCACACCTACTGAGGTCTGGGTAGGGCCCCTAAGGGGTGGCGTAAGAGACCAGCCTCAGATGCCTTTCTTTCCAGGGCTATGTGAACCTTGCCATGAGTGAGAACAAGCTGTGCATTGATCTGGTGGCTGAAAGGGTATGTCCTGCCCGGGCTGGGCTGGGCTGGGCTGGGCCCACCTGTAGGGATAGGGCCCCAGCAGACTCCTCTGTATGGATTAGGTATGGGTAGAACACAGGAGGTAGGGGAGGAGAGTGGAACACCAGCTGCTAGGATAGCATAGGTCTCTCCCGCCCTTGCTGAGTGAGTCCACAGGCATCCTCTAGAAGAAAACCTGTGTGTGGCTCGCTAATGGGGCATCCGTGCAGGAGGTGTTGAATACTTCCTGCTGAGGCATTTGTGTGGTAGTCATGACAGGATAGCGATTTCCACTCACCAGAGAAAAGGCAGAGCGCACACCATTCCCTTCCTGGGCTGCCATACAAGTACAAGGTGCATGTGCACACTGGGAATAGGAAGGACCTCTCTGATCTGGCTTTTCTGATGCTTTCTTTGTCAACAGTTGAATCAGAGTGACATGAACTATGTAGAGGATATAAAGGAGCAGTATCCCAACCCAAGGGGACATCGCTTGTAAGTGACCGCCAGAGCACAGCAAGGGAAGGACTCAATGCACCGTATTCTTGGCTGGCTGCCTCCCAGGTGCTTTGGGTAGCGACTCCTAGGAAATGAGAGAAAGCCTCATCAGGCAGACTGGTCTGTAGAACTAGCATTTGCCTGTAATTCCTGACCATAGTTCTTGTCCCAACTCCCACTTATTGGCTGTGTGGTCTGAACCGTTGATATCCTTTTTGTATAACCATATAGAAAAATTGGGCTGGGATTCAGTGTCCCTTTGAGAGTGGACATCTGTCCCATTGAGAAAGGCTGTAATATAAATCCTCAGTGAAGGGCCGGGGAGGTAGCTCAGTAGAATAAGTGCTTGCCTGACAAGTGCAGGCTTTTGAGTTCAATCCCTAGTACCAAAAAATAAACTAAATAAAGCAAAGCTTCATTGAAGAGAGAGAATGGGAACCACATGGGGTGTCTGGGTCTGTCCACAGCCTGCGGGAAGCAGTGGCCCAATTTCTGATTTACTACTGCAGATGTCCTTACTACCTGTCTTCAAGAAATGTGAGTCGCCTGGTGGAGGGCTGAGTGCATGGCCAGCCCTCTGTCTTGTCTGGGGAATGGTGGAAGATTCAGGAGACCTTCAGGACCAGGGCAGACTAGAGTCAATGGGACCAACCTGTAGGAACTCCTGGTGTCCATCTTCTCTAGGGGAGGGGGCTGGTGCAGCGTCCCCTTCTTACCTGTGTGCAGGTTATTAACTTCGCCCATTGTACATGTCCTCAGGTGGTTGTTTTAAATAGCTGCTCTGCCGTCTTCTCTGCACTGGCCACAGTGCTCTGCAACCCAGGGGGTAAGCTGGAGTACCTGGGCACTGGGCCTGCCGAAAGCATCTTCTCTCACAGGGTGTCCCCACATCTCTGGCATCTCTCTGCTGAGTAGGATTTCTCCTTATTGCTGACCAGAAGTTGGGATTCCTCCCTTGATCTAGAAGTCACACATGACCATTCTTCCACAGTGATGATGTGGGGAACAAAATCATTCTGGTCCTCGCTGAGATCTTATCAATGCTGCAGTATGGGTAGCTTGGGAATCAGTTTCGATTTTACCAATTTTCAACCATTTCCCTCATCCTCAAATGATAATGAGTTCTGAACCTGATTAGCTCAAAGTTCTGTTGTGAAGGACAAAAGACAGGTGTCCTTTTGGCATGAACCTTTGCCTCCAGTGTTTGGCCTAGACCCTAGTGTACTTGCCCACAGCCCAGCTCCCTAACCCCTATTTGGCCTCTGTGCCCTGGGCCCTGGATCCTGAGCTATTCATCGCAAGTCTTTCCACTTTTTCCTCAGGGGAACTCCTCAGAAGAGGTTCACTTTTTTTTTTTTTTTGCGGAAAGGGGGATTGAACTCAGAATCTTGTGCTTGCCAGGGAAGTGCTTATTCTACTGAGCCATCTCCCCAGTCCCAAAAGAAGTTCACTTCATTGCCAAAATTATGTCTGGAAGAGTAGACAACCTTTGTGGAACGTGAGCACAAGAGCATCAATCCCCAGACAGGAGAGACTGCTCATGTGGCCTCTTTTGTAGACAGCTATGCTGCTCCTCTGGCTGTTGGTAGGCTCTCAGTTCTGAGGAAACATGGACTAATACATTCTTCTCCCTGTGCTGCCAGATTGTTTCCTTGTCTCCACCCCGCTTTTCAGTGGTTTCTTCTATGGCATTGGGCTGTGTGCTTATATCCATCTGATGCCCATCTACGTGGAGAGTGAGGTCAGAAGGGCCCCTTCCCTGCTCAGCCCACCCAGGCACTGCACTGTTGTGGTGGGCACTGAGGGGGCACAGGGGCTGCACTCTTGCTCTGTGTATGAGGTGATGGATAAATGGAACAGAAATCGGGGTGAGGAGGGCATGCATGTCTAGGATCCGGGTACGAAGGCCAACCATGGCCTGGTTTGCAGTGGAGCATCAGGGCTCAGAAGCCTTCTGCAGGGCAGTTCTCAGTACAGCCTCTCTTCCAGATCACTGATGCAGACACCCGACCTTTCCAGCTCACAGTGGGCAAACTGGAGCAAGCCCTACTTGAAGCGAAGACTCAGGTAAGGAGGGAATCCTATTGCCAGGGGAGTTGGAGGGCACTTGGGTACTGAGCGTCTGGTAGACCTGCTCACTCCACTGGATGGGCTAGCTTTAGTCAGAAGAGGCAGTGAGTGTGTCCTGTAACATAGCTCCCTAGGAGCAAGGCTCCTGGCTGTGGCCACTCCCAGAGCATCTTCCTGCCCCTACCCAGGCAGGATGGCCATGGCTTTCTGTGGCCTCATTTGTTGACCTGTGCTGGAATCTGACCTATGAAGGATTGTTGCTTGACCTTGGGGAAGATGGAAAGGACTTGTGTTTACTCTTGTGTTTCGGTTGTTCTTAGAATAAGAAGGTCAAAGGACTCTTGCTGTCCAACCCTTGGAAGGCTACGGGGGATGTCTACTCACAGGAGTCCCTGAGGGACTACCTGGAATTTGCCAAAAGGTAAAAGCTTGATCCTTTCAGACTGGATGATGTCTCTAAGATGGGATCCCTTTGCTCCTAGTCATGAACTCAGAAGCAGAGATCATTTACCTAAATGAGTGTACCATCCTCTCTGCTTCGTAGAGTTGTGCATAACTAAATGTAACTAAACGAAGCACCCAATGCACACCATTTCCACCCTGCCAGCTTTCCTTTCCTTGCCTCTTCCCTTGGACAGACATCAATGTAGCAGTGGTAACCTAGATTTGATGCTCCTCCTCCTCCTCTTCCTCCTCCTCCTCTTCTTCTTCCTTCTTCCTTCTTCTCCTTCTTCCTTCTTCTCCTTCTTCTTCTCCTTCTTCCTTCTTCTGCTTCTTCCTTCTTCTCCTTCTTCCTTCTTCTCCTTCTTCTCCTTCTTCCTTCTTTTCCTTCTTCTCCTTCTTCCTTCTTTTCCTTCTTCTCCTTCTTCCTTCTTCTCCTTCTTCCTTCTTCTCCTTCTTCCTTCTTTTTCTTCTTCTCCTTCTTCCTTCTTCTCCTTCTTCCTTCTTTTCCTTCTCCTTCTTCCTTCTTTTCCTTCTCCTTCTTCCTTCTTTTCCTTCTTCTCCTTCTTCCTTCTTTTCCTTCTTCTCCTTCTTCCTTCTTTTCCTTCTTCTCCTTCCTTCTCCTTCTTCCTTCTTCCATCTTCCTTCTTTCCTCTTCCTCTTCCTCTTCCATAGTAAAGGCACTCTCCCCTGCCTCTATTTCTCAAGCTGCTTGGGCTGAGGAGCTGATGAAGACAGGACCTCAGTCCTTGCAGAGGGAAGATTGGCCCTTGTGTAGCTCTCACAGGAATCTCAGAGGGATAGCTTGACATTGCTTATCTCCACAGAGCTAAAACGCGCCTAGTAGGGCAGATATTCTGTTCTCTAGAGGAAAGAGACTTAGTCAAACACTGGTATGAACCTAAAGCAATAATGGCACAGCTTAGGGCCAGGCCTGTTAGAGGTTATGAGGGAAGAATCCAGCAGAGCTGGGCTCAAAGACTAGCTCTCACACCTGCCACGTATGGGAGATAGAGTCACACCTCACAGAATTAGGTTCCTTTCCTTTCTGGAAGGAAGAGGTGGGTTGCTGCAAGGTTTCAGAGGGCTGTAGAGAGAGCAGTTGAGAGGAGGCAGGCACTGTGTCACCTCCTTGGTGCCCCTGCTTGCCTCAGAACCTAGCTGGGAGATTCCAGTTCTGTGAGATCAACATATTGTAGGACAACATGCCTCTTCCACTGGTCTCTGCTTGGTGGCTGACAGAGTAGTAATGCGCTTCTGTGTGTCTTTGGGATCCTTCCTACTCTGTCTCCTTATGGTCATCCTGGGTGTGCAAGGTCTCCGCTGAAGTATTGACTCCTCCTCCCCTACCGTTGGAAGGGCAAGGTGGGCTCACAGGCCACAGGTGAATCTGCTCTGTATCCAGAGAAGAACAGGAATGAAAATGAGATAAATTTGCAAAGGAAACCAAGTTCTGTTCTCTTTTCACCCAACTACAGAAATGACCTGTTTGTGGTCATAGAAGAAATGTATATGCTGTCTGTATTTGATGACCCTGTCAAGATCCACAGTGTTCTGAGCATGGAAAGGTGAGTTTGTTTCCACTGAGGTGGGGAGTGTGCACCTTGAGGGCCCTGTTTGCAGGCAGAGTGCCTGCAGCCTAACTGCTTATGGGTTAGGAAGCGACTTCCGAGCCAGTGGGGGTCCTGAAGATGGGCTAAGTGTCTTTCAGTCTAAATGCCGTCCTGCATTTAAGTTAGTGTGATGGCCAAGTAGCAAGTACACTGCCACAGGCCACGATCAAGTCCCACTGCAGGTGTGCTTGGTAATTATGATGTTCCCCTTTCCATAGACCAGTAGAAATGCACAGTACAGTTGTCCACACCATCCCGCTTACATACATAGATAAATCTCTTTCCCCTATTTCCTGTCCTGTCTTTCTCTTGAACTCAGTAACTCTTTCATTTTGAATAAATTCATTCCCTTTTCCCAGTTTCTATTTTACCATGCAGATTCCATTTTTCTGTTTTAGGTAAGAACACAGCAGAACCATCTTTCTCTTTGTTCTGCATGTGTTTTTTTTTGTGGCCCTTGAAGTTGAAAGTAGGGCATACTACTGTTAAGCTACATGTCTTGGCCATTATGAACAATTTCTTTAAAGAGATACCTTGAGACTCAGCCTCACTTTATTACTCAGGCTGGCATTCCATTCACCTTCCTCCTGAGCCTCTGGAGTAGCAGGGCTGTACCCATATAAGACTGCATTCTCTGGGCAGAATTTTCAGAAGGGTAGTATTTGTCCCTGTGGAAAAGGTTCCAAGCCATCAAGCGAAGGGTGTGCTTTGCAGAAGGAGTGGCTTTGTCAAACGTGGGGCAGTAGGACCCAGGCAATCTCATTCTAGACATGGTGGGTGGCCCACATCAGAGTGTCATGCTGGCAGGGACATGGCTTTGGGCTGGGTGTTGAACAGCCAAGTTCAAGAACAGCTCCTAGGTTTCACACTGTAGGCCCCTGGGAGCAGTTCCATGTACCTCTTGAGGACAACATCTAAGTAGTGATTCTTGAACTTCTGTCCCATTGTCTAGGACAGACTCAAACCTACTTACATACTTTCTCCTCATTGACCTCAAGTTTCAAATACTCTTCTGAACTTGGATTTTTTTTTTCATTTCTCCTGCAGCTTTCCTGCCCCGCAAAAGACCTTTGTGATCTGGAACATCAGTAAGGCAAGCCCCAGCTGCCATCCTTTGGGTCTGGGAGAAAGGGGGTCAGGAAATCTGATGGAAAAGAAATCAGATGTTTGTCCTTTTACCTCTGTTGCTCTAGGATTTTGGCTTGGGCTTTGGTGCTCTGTATACCCCCAACGAAGATGTAGCCCTTGCAGTACTGTCTCTTAGCTCCATCCACAGCATCTCCGGCATCACCCAGTACCACCTGTGCCGCTTGCTCTGGGACAGAGGTACTGACTGCAACTTAGGGTAGCACCGTGGCCATAGAGAATGCCCGGGTGATCTGGGGCTCTGGATGTGGCCTCAGGATGCTGAGCCACCTTGGCACTGTCAGGCACATTCATGGTAACATGGCAGGATGCAGCTCAAAGTGTAGTAGGCTTGGAAAGAAGATGGAGGTGCCATCCTAAAGAGAGGATGCACATTAGTTCTCTTACATAATCCTGTCTTCAAATTAGTTGTTTTGTTTATCAGATATAAGTATGCAAGTCTGAGGAAAAATAAGCACCAAGTGCTCCTTTCTGTAGACCAGTAGAAATTATGGTTCAATTACTCCAGCAAACCTGTATATATGCATCAATATATTTTCCCTTTCTTTCTTGTGTCCTATTCTTCAGCCCTGTCTTGGGCTTTCCTTCTTGATGCCCAGCACCTTTTGGGCTGCCTGGGACAGCTGTCCTCTGAAGACCCGCAGGTGAGGACTTCAGCAAATAATCTTTACAGGAATGTCTAGTTTCCTTCCCTGAGACCCTGATTACCTCAGGCAAAGATTACAGAGAAATATCCGGACTGCTTTTATACAGCTTGGTCTCATTTTCCAAGGTGGTCGAAGGACAACTGAAAGAAAGCATGGTTAGGTCTGTGGCAACTAGGTTGACCTTCCCCCTTGGACCTCAAGTGAAAGCTGACCCCAGAGATTTCTCCTTCCATGGTTGAAGCTTCAGAAATACCCATTTCTTTAATTTGCTATTGTAACACTGATGCTATGATGAAAGTCTCGAATCAAGATCTAGTACAAGGGAAACAAATAGATGTTATTAAATTAGCAGGCATAGAAAGTTTGCTTTCAGTTCCAGGCAGGGAAGGAGGTAGAAACCAACTGGATGCATCTCTACAAGGCGTTGGCCTCTTTGACAGGTAACAGAATCTGGGTCCCAGACCCCTTGAACAGAGATTCTCTACTTTGGCAATATACCTGGGATTTGCTAGGATTGTATACATGATTGTGAGCTCCATCCCCACAATTCTGATTAAGAAGATCTAAGTCACAATCTGGTCATCGCGGATGCACAGAGTTCCCCAAGGGAACCTTCTAGCTTGTCAATGTTGAGAATAACTGACCTATAATTATGTGGAACCCAGCTAGATTTTTCCAAGCTTATTTTATGTGGTCCAAAGAGACTATGTAAGGGAAGCTCAGACTACCTGCTTCTCTACCCCGTTGACAATAGCAAGAGCAGCATCAATCCCCTGTGTGGAATACACTGCCCGAAGAGTATCAACTTGAAAGTCACTTTCTCTCTGGATCACTGAAAGCCCCGTCTCCTCCACAGCTACACATGAGAGCTGGGTGTGTGGGATGTGCATGCTACTGCACCCATTTCAGTCACACTCTGTCCTCGGTAGGAGCTGGCATGAAGCACAGGGAGGAAGACTGGGAAGTAGCCTTCTGGCATGTCTCTCATGGCATCAGTGACCATTCTCTGTTCTACTTGTCCAGACTGGATTGATAACACATACCTGCCCACCATTCGCTCAAGGCTTGCAACAGCTCACGCATATGTCATGAAGAAGCTGCACGAGTTGGAAGAGCAGCACAACCGCAAGATCATCTTCCATAATTGCAGCTCTGGCCTTTACACCTGGATCAACTTGAAAAATGTGAGGTCTGGGAATGAGGACTGGTGCTCCTGGGCTGAGCTGTGCAGGAGGCGTGGGCTCAGCTCTGTTCCTCTGCCTTTCCTAGTTCCTGGAACCGTGTACATTTGAAGAAGAGCTGCTCCTCTACCGCCGCTTCCTGGACCACAAGGTGATCTTGTCCCGAGGCCAATCCTACGTGCTTAAGGAGCCTGGCTGGTTCCGCCTCTCCTTTGCAGAGAATCCAGACAAACTAATGCTGGGTAAGTGGTGCTGACCTAGTAGACTTGCATCCTATGAAGATACCCCATCAATTTGCTCCTACGTCAATCTCTAAATCGTCCTGTCTTCTTAAAAAATATTTTGCATTTAGCAACCTTTAGCTTCAGCTCTTTGAAGCATACATATCCATTTCAATGCTTTGGTTTTGTAAAGATGAGTAATTGGTGCCACAGGTATGTCCAGTTCATTCTGTCTTCTGGGTGTCTGTTTTGTGTCTGTCACTGAACAAGTCACTGGACCCAGGAGTAAGTGGGAAGCTGTGGGACTTTGGTCTCATTGGACTGTCACTATAGCTTTGGACACTGCTACATGACATGGATGTCATATATTCTGGAAGTTATGGAGAACATGACTTTGAAAGTATTTATTATGTCCTATGACATGCACACAGTGTTGCATTTCATGGGAATACAACAGCGAGTCATTCATTCTCATGGAAGTTGGGCTAGCACAAATACCTGTGCATTTTGTGTTGAAAACAGACTGAAGGGTTAAGTCCAAGAGCCAGGTTTAGCATTTGACAGGGGATGTGGAGAGGCCTGGTAGGCTGAGAATATAAGATTCCAAAGTTCAGCTACGTTCCAGGTTGGAGTCTCATCCAAAAGAAGGGTAGGCTGAAGTTCAGCATTCCTGGACAAGAGACTGGTGGTGTAGGGTGACCTGGCTACATCTGGCCCCATTTGCAATACTGTTAAGTTCTTGTTTGTCTTTTTCTCTTTGGACCCCGCAGGCATGCATCGATTTGGTCAGGCCATAGCAAAGCAGAAGCCATGCTTGGTGGAGAAAGTAGTGCATTATAACCCACAGATACATAAAGTGGACTCCTCTGGGAACAATGGCAACTGATACGGTCATCAACCTCTGTCACCCCAGCGTCTGTCACCTTTGGAAACACTGCATCCTTTCAACCTTTGCTATTCATGGTGTTTCTAATGCTTTTATTGGGGATTGGGTAGAGAGCTGAGCCACCAGAAAGAATGTGGCAGCTCTTGGGATCTTTTTTAAGTGGTTATATTTTTTATTCAATGTCTAATAAATTCTACATTCTGTTAAATTTCAGGCCTCTTTTCATTGTTCATAATCACCTTGGGAATGCTAGTTTCTCTTGCCTTATCCATTTGAGAAACACGTGCACTGTGAAGCCCCCATGGAGAGCAGGCCAGCACAGAGGTGACCGCCCCCCAATGGAGCACTTTGTGACCACGGGGGCAGCCTCTCAGGCCCTCCCTAGAGCACAGCTACCTTTGTTCCAGGTGCATAGTGGCAGGTTTGGGGTACAATTGTGGGTATTTCTACACCCAAATACAGGACTATTTTCCAGTATTGCCTTTCTAAGAGGCTTTTAACACAAATCTTTAAAGAGAAGCTTGGTGTCTTAGTCTCCCACGATACCACCTAACCCAGCAATGTATCATTCATGATTGTGGATGCAGGAGAGTGCAGGATCAAACCCCAGGTAGACTGGGTGCCTGGTAGGAGCCACATTGTCACTGCGAATTCAATGGCAGGATGGATGAGGGGCATCCTTTCTTCAGGACTGAGTCACCTGTCAAAGGCCCCACATCCTGCTGTCCTCACCTCAAGGTGAGGGATTTTCAAGTCTCAGTTTCAGAGTGAGATGAACTTCCGGTCTCTAATATCTGGCATCTTTGTTTCCATCCCTATTGTTTGTAGCTGTTCAAATCACTGGTGTTCAATTCATGGTTTTAGTTTCTCCACAAAGCCCTTTCCTACTGGAGCACAGGGTCTCTGCACCTGGCAGAACTGTGACTGCTGCTATCTCACGTCAAGTGGTCGTGAGCTTGTGGAATGTGCGCTGCCGTGGACACATAGATCGTCCCCACTGCTGTCACAGAAGCCAGGCCAACCCAGGCCTTCAAAGTGGACAGACGAAAGGGTTGTTTTTTTTTTTTTTTTCCATACCTAAAACTTTATTTAGAACCTTCTATAGCTTTTGTAGACAATCCTAGAAGCCATGATGGAACCTACAAGGGATTTTCTGGCATTGTAGCTACGGCACAGGTCCACCCGGGTGCGAAAACCCCGAGTGTTCTTCTCTTGACAAAACTAATTTGAGCTTGATCTTTTCTGTTTGCACTGGTAAGATTTTCAGAATGTGGCAATGGAGGTGCTGGACTCCAAGAAAGCTATCTGTGGAGCCGTGCTCTGCCGTGTGCGCAACACTTGAACATAAAAGGACAAGCGTGGGAAGGGGCGACGAGGGACAGCGCATCTGAGAGATCCGAGAGCTCCTTAAGCTGGAATTCTCGGCCCAGTGATTTTAAGTCAGTGAAAACACTCTGGATTGCGTTTTTACTCTGATCTTCTGGTTGTTAGCAGCTGATCTAAACTTTTATATTGAATTATATTATATAATCTGTATTTAATCTGGTACAGAAGCAGACTAGCAGATGACCTGCGTGCTGTGTGTGCTCCTTTTGACTAAAGAAGTAGCAGCCAAGGGCTGAGTGGTCATCAGTGTGGGACACAGCCAAGGGCCCACGGCCTGTGCCAATCTGCACCAAGTGCTAACTTTAGACTTTCTGTAAGGCGCTGTATTCCTGAAAGCTCTGTCACTGTTCAGATAAAAGATACTAACCCCTGAGTTGTTGTATCTAAACTCAAATTCATTGCTCAGGTTTGATTGTGGTGTTGGCGCACTGCCGTAAATAAGTGGGTTTTGTGTCACATTTTAGAGACTTGGTCTCTCAACGTTTTGCCGCTTCTGTCATCGATGCTAAAAATCTTTCAGTACTAACTAGTGGCTCTGGCTAGGTGCTTGAATGTGTGGCCAACCTCTCTCCCATGGGCTCAGGCTCAGTTCTTCTAGTTCCCAATGACAATTTTTTGGTTAGCTTTACAAATATTCACAAGTAGGAATATACCAAGGGATTCTGAGAACTGTTGATTCATTTCTCTGGCCCATTTTTAACTATCTATTATTTTTGGAAGTCTGATATTTTTGAGTTCTTTGTGTAGTCTAGCTATGAGTCCTCTCATGATAGCTGGCTACCGCTTGCCCATTGTGCAGGCCATCTTTTCACTGTGGTGGTTGTATGTGTCCTCGTATGGAGGCTCTTCAGCTTGCTGTGATGCCGTCTGTTGGTTGTTGGTGTTCTTTCTTCTGCAATCTGAAAGCCTTTGCCTATGCCTACGTATTGAAGAGTTCACCTGTTAGAGCTTCCAGCAGATTCAGTGTTTCTGTTTTCGTATTTAGATATTTGACACATTATTTTCGTTTTAATCAAGAAGTATATTTGAACAACAAGATATTTGACTTAAAGGGAAATCTATTTAGGATTCTTCTTTTTTAAGACTGATTTAATCCTACTTAGGCACAGATTGCCCTCCATGTAAAAACTATGTCAAAAATGTGAGGAAATTGTCTTTGATTTTATGGCGTATGAAAAACATTAAAACTTTCCAATCAAACAAGGTATTCCAGGAATTCTGTGTTGTCTTTTCTATTAAAACAGTGAGGACAAAATAATTGACTGGACTATAAAGATAATAGCTGGTGAGCATGCCACTAATGGAGAAAGGGGATTACTTTCATAGAACCAGTAATTCCCTAGCTGATCTCTGTTGATGTCAATTAAAACATATAGTTGTCTGTTTAGAAATAAAAACAAAGGGGGCTGGGGAGATGGCTCAGTAGAATAAGCACTTGCCTAGCAAGCACAAGGGCCTGAGTTCAATCCCCAGTTCCGAAAAAAAAAGAAAAACAAAAATCAAAAAGCAATATACTTGTGCACACACATACTTTATGGACAATAAAGGAATGGGGAAGGCTAAAGGAAAGAATAGAGAAAAGTACATGGTAGCAGTCAGAAATAATTTTTGGTTAGCTTTCTTTGATTTTAAGGATGAAAAATCAAAAACATAACAAGAACAAAGACAAAGACAAAGCAAGAACACAGCCACATGAAACAGTAGAAATGGTATAGACTTTCAAAGCAAGAATAGAAAATCAACAATACTTGTTATATTACATATTGTTAGCAAATTTGTTGAGATTAGCCAGATATAGGTATGCAAGGCTCTACAAACAATTAAACATTAACTCTTCCTTTCAATAAGCTTTAATATTTCTCCTTGTCATTCTTACCTTTTATTTTTTAATTCATTTTAAAGAGAAAAATAAGACATTAGAGATGGTGCATATTTAAAAAAAACAAAATCAAAGGGATCCAATTACAGTTGTTATATTGTACATTGCTGTCCTCGATGCAGTTGCTAAGATTACAGATACTAGCAGGTAGAGTTAGTCAAAGTAAAAACTTCCAACATCAACTATACTTTCAAAAACCAAATAGCGATGAGTAATACAATCATTTCCGCTACCCTGTATATATACTGACATGATTCTTCCCCCTTCCTTTTTTCCTCTCTTTTCTCCATTCACTCCTCTTCATTATTATTCCTTATGTTCAGCTTGTTTCTGTTTTACTGGATCTATGCTACCTTTCAGATTTTAGTTATATTTTCAGATTCCTGCACTAGGGAGACAATTCAGTATTTACACATGTGGGCCTGGTTTATTTCACTTATGAATATAGCATCTAATTGCATTCATTTGCCTATAAAAGCCTCAAGTTTATCTTTTTTATAGCTGAGAAATACACTATTGTATAAAAATACCATGTCTTTTTTATTCATTCCTCACATGATGGACATTAGCGTTGTTTTAATGATTTAGCTATGACAAACTGTGCTGCTATGAACCTGGGTTCACATATAACACTGTAGTATGATATTTTCTGTTCTTTTAGAAAAATACCCAGAAGGGAAATGTCTGGGTTGAATGGGACTTCTAATCCTAGTTTCCAGAGGACTCTCCACACTGCTTTCTGTAGTGGTTGAACCAGTCTACGTTCCCACCAACAATGGAGAAGAGTTCCTTTTCTCTCGCCATCTCACCAGCATTTGTTATTAGTTGTTTTCTTTATGATAGTCATTTTTTCTGGGGTGAGATGGAGTGTTGTTTTAATTTGTGTTTCTCAAATGACCAGTGATTGGGGCTGGGGAGATAGCTCAGTAGAATAAGTGCTTGTCTGGCCAGTACAAGGTCCTGAGTTCAACCCCCTGTATGGGGGGGAAGCAGAATGACCAGTGCTGTGGCACATCTTTTCATGTATGTGTTTGTCATTTGTATTTAGTCCTCTGAGAAGTGTCTGTCCATTTCAGGTGCTCACAACTGGACTGAGTTTTTCAATTCTGGGAGCTGATTTTGTTTAGTTCTTTATGTATTCTAGATACGAGTCTGACTGACTGACTTTTGGTTAAGATATTTGCCCCCAATTTGTAGATTACCTTTTTAGTCTGGTGGTGATTTCTTTTGACGTGTAGAAACTTCTCCATAAGATGAGACCTCAGCTGTTGATTCTGGGAAGTACTTCCCTGTGGTTTGACATTTGTTCATAAACTCTCTGCCTAAATCCCAGTCATCCCTCTGCTGATGATTTCTTCCTACTTTCTCTCCCAGAGTTTTTATATCTTCTTGATTAATTTTGGTGATTTGTACCTATGTAGGAATCTGTCCATTAATTCCATGCTTTCTGTTCTGTGAGAGTAAAGATTTCCAAAGTGGAGATTGATGATCTTCTGAATTTCCACATGATGTCAAGTAATTTCACACTTTTCCTTCCTTATTGATTGAATTTGACTTTTTCCTTCTCTTTTTGATAAGGTTGGCTTATTTAAATAAAATTATCAATTTTATTTAATCCTTCAAAGAACTAGCTCTTTGATTCATTAATTCTTTGTATTGTCTTCCTTGTCTCAATTGCACTAATTTCTACTCAAACTTTTGTAACTTCCTCTCATTTTTGGGCTTTGGGCTTGGTTTGCTCTTCTTTTTCTAGAAGCTTGAGGTGAAGCATTAGAGAATTTATTTGTTCCTTTTGTTTTGTTTTTATTTTTACTTTATTTTTTTTCTCAATACCAGGGATTGAACTCAGGGCCCTGCACTTACCAGGCAGGTGCTTATTCTACTGAGCTTTCTTCCTGGCCCTATTTATTTGTTCTTGTTCAGTTTTCCTGTCGTGTGAATTCTGCAGCATAAATTTCCCTCTGAGAACTGCTTTCATTTCATCTCACAAAATCTGGTCAGTTGTGTTTGAATTTCCATTGGATTACAGCTATGATTTAATTTCTTCTTTAATTTCATCTGTGACCCATTGGTTGCTGAGGTGACTATTAGTTAATTTCTATGTGCTTATGGGGTTTTTGCACTTTCTTTTGTCATTAATTTCCAGTTTCATTGCACTGTGGTGAGGCAATATGCATGGGACATTTTTAGTTTTCTTACATTTACTTGAATAGGATGCATGGCGAGAATTTTAAAGACCATCCCGCATGCAGCTGAAAAGAATGTGTATTCCGATGTGGTTGGGTGGAATATTCATAAATGTCCACTAAGTCCATTTGTTCAAAGGTTTGGTTCAGTTCTGCTACATCGTTGCTGATTTTTGTCCAGTTCATCTCTTTGAGATCTTGAAGTCTAAAGGTGACCAGTTATGATTGTGCTATTGGTTATTGGTTTTTCCACATCTTTTAAATTTTTTCTTATACAGTTTGGTGCTCTACTATTTGATGCATACATGCTTGTGATTGTTGCCTCTTCCTGTTAAAGTTTTCCCCTAACAAGTATGTAGTGACCTTCTTTATCTCATTTGTTCATTTTTGGTTTGAACTTCACATAATTGATGAACAGACTATCTACCCAGATTTTTTCTGAGTTTTTGGTGCATGGAGTATTCTTTTCTATCGTTTGACTTTTAGCCTATGAATTTCCTTCTAACTTAAATGCTTTTCTTGTATAGCACATTGTGGGATTTTGTTTCTTGATCCACTTTGCCAGTCTACTCCTTTTAATTGGTGAACTGAGGCCATTTACATTGGTGGCTATAATTAATATGTATTGGTTTAACTTTTCTGCTGTTGGGTCTCTACTTTTCCTGTCAATCATTGCTTGACCTGTTTGGTAGTTTCTTTCTGTTGTTGTTCTTGGTACCAGGGATTGAACTCAGGACCTTGTGCTTGCTAGGCAGGCACTTAAGCCACTGAGCTATCTCCCCAGCTCTGTTATTCTTGGCATTGTGGTCATTTTATGTCTTTCTAGAACATCTTTTAGTACTCTTTGTGGGGTGTGTTTAGTGGTACTGAATGTCTTTAGTTGTTCATGAAAGTATTTTACCTCTCCATTCACTTTGAAAGAGTTTTGCACAGTATATCAATCTGGTTTAGAAGTTGTTGTGTTTTTTTGTTGTTGTTGTTTTAGGACTTGTAATATTTCACTTCAAGCTCTTCTTGAGTTGGATTCTTTTGAGATATCCACTGGGATTCTGATGGGCTTTCCTTTAACTGTGATTTGTTTCTTTACTCTAACAGCTTTGAGTATGTTGTTCTTGTGTCAAATTTCTGGGATCTTGATGATTATACGTCTGGCTGTAGATTTATGTTCCTTGGTTTCAGTTGGAGTTCTGTATGCCTCAGTTACATGTATCTCATATTCTTTGCCTCTTTTCAGAAAGTTTTCTGCTATTCTGCAAATAGTCTCGCTATGTCGTTTGTGTAGGCCTCTTTTTTTACTGATGCCTATTAGTCTTATGTTGTTCATTCTTGCATCATATTGTTGCTGTTGAATTATTATTTCTTGGTTCCTGATTGTTTTTAAGAGATGTTTCCATTTCTGATCACTAGCTGCAATGATATTTTCAAGGTCTCAACATCTATCGTCAGTTCCATTCAAAGGGTTTTAGCAACTTTCTGTGGAATTTTTAATTTCTTGTAGAGCTCTTCGAATATATTTTATGCCTATTATTTCTTTCCTATATGCTCATTCCAGGTTTCCATCATTTTTCTATGGTCGGCTATTTGTTTTTGTCAATATCTTCTTTATATACACTCAGTAATTCTTTCATCATAGTTCTCATTTCTTTTTTACCTGAGAGATTATTTCTAGTCTGAGTCACTATGGGGACACCTGTAATCAAAGCTAATTGTCTCATGGACATGGTATGGAAACAGGTATTCCATGGAGGGAGAACCTGTGTCTGTCTTCTCTTCAACTCAAGATTTAGAGGGTAATGGGTGTAATGTGGGTTTGCAAATGACTATGTTTTAATGACTACGTCTAGTCTGATTACTTCTACATCTCTCTGGAGTTGTTTCTTTACTTGAGTTGCAATCATTTCAGAAATTTCAGAATTGTGTCTTCCAATTTCTTCTACACTAATGACTCCTGGATTTGTTCTAGATGGGGTGGGGACCTGAGGTTGCATTTTGCTCCTTTACCTTATCATTTTCTCATTTAGAAAGAATGTTGTATTTTGATTTCTGTGATACTTTTAGAGAAAGTTTGATAAGAGACAGCTCTATCACTGCAATCAGACCCTCTCTATGTACAGTCTGTTCTTCAGGGGTCTCATCTATGTGTCAGAGAATCTTTGTTTATGTCTGTCCCAAGATCATGTGTTCTCTTTTAACTGAGTGTGGGATATTGGTTTCTGCTTGGCACTGTCCTCTGTCTTTCGGTCAGGGCTTTATTAATGTTATTACCCCAGTGCTTTCTGATATTATTACCCATGGGACAATATGTGTTAAAGACAGATATGATATCCCAGTTACAGTAGTACAATTAGCAATAATAATAACAGCAAGTGAAATTTAGAAATTGACACTTTGGTAACTAATGGTTTTGTACTTTATACCATAGGAGAAAACACTGTAGTCATATAATGAAGCAGATTGCAAAATGGGGATGTGTATGCAAACTGCTTCCCTTGAGTTCCCCCTGGGCGCATCCCACCCTGAACCTGAGTCCTCTGAACAGACACATTCACCGAGCTCCCTCCTGTTGCGTCTGCACCGTGAGTCAGGGCCCCTCAGGGCCGCCCCTTTCACCTGGGCTTAGTCCAGCCAGTCCAGGCCAGGAGTGCTGGCCTGCAGTTCACCTGAACTTCACTCCTGCTTAGCATTAAATAAAGTAAAAATAGAAGCAAACCCATGAATTTTGATTCTTGAGCTTCATATGTTTGTTTTGCATACCAAAGTTTTGTATCCCAATTGTGGGCCCGTAGTGACAGATTTCTCACATAACTCAGTCGCTATGGAGACACTGGTAATGAAAGCTAGTTGTCACATGGACACGGGCTGGAAGCAGGTATTCCATGCAGGGAGAGCCTGTGGCTCTCTTCTGTTCTGCTCAAGTTTTAGAGGGTAATGTGTGTGATGTGGGTGTGCAAATGACTACTTCATGTTTTAAAGTTGATTTTTATTAGTATATTGTTGAAGGAAAAGATGATAATGTTCCTCCTAGGGATTGGTTCATGTAAATAATATGTTTTATTTTTCATTCACCCCTGTTTTCTCCTCCCCCTCCATCTTCTGGATCCTTTCCCTTTTGTAAAGAACTGTCTTCATTTTTGCTATTATTTTTTATTTTGAATCTTATGCATAGAGTACTTTGGGCTTACTGTGAAGAACTTGTGTGCTATTTAACCTTGTGTCTGATTTATTCTACTTCATGTTATAGTCTCAAGAGCATCCATCTTCCTACAAGCAACTCAAGCTTATCCTTTACCACAGAGCAGTTCTCTTTTGTGTGTAAATACCATGTTTTCTACATCCATATCTAGGCTGTTGATGGACACATGGGCTGCTAACAAGATTTAGCGATTGTGAGTTGTTCTGCTCTAAACACTGCATCCGTGGATTACTGTAATATGTCTTTAACTCTTTAAGCAAGATACCTCAAGGGGGCTAGCTGGTGGAGAGGAATTTCTATTTTTTTAATTTTGAGCAATTTCCATACTGATTTCTGCAATGGTTGTACTAGTTTCCATTCCCACTGACAATGTGTAGTTGTTTCCTTTTCTCTACAGCTTCACCCGCCTTTGTTATTACTTGCTTTCTCAAAGCCATTCTTTCTGGAGTAAGATGGGATCTCGGCTTTAATTAGCGATTCTCTAATGGCCAGAGATGTTACACATTTCTTCTATGTATTTATTGGTCATCTGCACTTCTCCTTCTGAAAACAGATTAATCATTTCAGTTGTCCATTTTTAATTGAATCTTTTAATTTCAGAAGCCTCATATTTTTAGTTCTTTGTGTAGGGCAGATGTCAGTCCTCTGATGGTAGCCGGCAAACCCTTTTGCCATTCTGCGAGGTAGCTTTCACTCGGTAGTTGTGTGGTTGTGCAGAGGCCCTTGAACTTGCCGTGATCCCTTCTGTTGATTGTGGTGTTATTTCTTGCGCAGTTCAGAAAGCTCTGCTGAGGTGTTCAGGAGTTTCACCTGCTTCATTCTTCAGCTGGTTGAGTGTTTTTTTTTTTAAAGAGCACCTTTTATTTTTAATAAAATAGTGGCACATGAAAAATACTGTGTATTACAAATAGGCACAGGCAGAAGCACCCTTCCTGGCCTGAAGAGAATGTGCTGTCAAAGTTTGTCTTTTTGGTGTTTTTCATCTATTCTGGAAATCATTTGTTCAACAATAGCAGGAGCTAGCCAGCCCTTGGGTGCTCCCGACAGAGCCTCTGCCCCTCTTCCCCTCCTTTCCAAGTCAGTCCAAACGTGTAGAACACTGGCTTGGTTTCCACTAAAAGCCACAAAATGTAACGCTAAAGGGTTTTTGAGGCTGGGCCTCTTAGTTCTTTTGTTAGCAGGGTTCTTTTGTTGTCTTTATGTACAGTAAATACTTGTTTCTCTTTATTTTCACAGAAACAGAAGAAAAATGTATTGTACATCTTTCAGACTCACACATGTTTAGTGTGGAGGAGCTTCCTGGCTTGGAGAGAGGCCTCCTTTGAGGGCTGGAGTTGACTCCATGTGACCGAGCCACTGGCTTGAGAAGAGACTCCCCGGGACCCTTCTTTTGTCATCACACCCACTGTGACACAAAGCAGCCTTCTGAGGTGGGGCGGGAGGGCTCCTCGCTTACCCCCAGGGAGAGCTCCTCCGGGCACTCAGGTGCCAGTGGGTCACCTGGCCAGCCCAACATCCAGGTGCACCCTGCGGATGGGTCTGTAGTGTTCTCAACTCTGAGCCAACTACTGCTCCCCAAGTGAGCTGCTAAGATGCCGTGGATGAGGAGCCCCAGCCACAAAAACCAAGCGGAACAAAACCTTCCAAATACATGTCCTGCTTTTTGAGTCTGGCGACATCCTGAATGTCAGGGTGGACACTTTTTATTTCTTTATATCTTTGTTAAGGTTTTATTTGTTAAAAAATACAAGCAAAGCCCCCAGTGCGGGCTCTGACTGCCTGCGCCTGTCCTCTCCCCTCACATGCAGGAAGGTGGCTGCACGGGGAGCTCAAACTTCCCCAGGTGTGGCTTTTGGGGGTGCTGGGCTTTTTTATAAATCCCCCCGCTGGTAATGACGCTGGCTGGTTTCCTGCGGCTCTTCCTCTTCAACCTGCGGCTGCAGACCTGCTGCCAGGACTGCAGGGTCTTGGATGTCCAGATCCACACCCCACTGGTGATACCCACCACCAGCAGCATGGAGACCTTGACCATGAAGACCTCCACAGCGGGGATGGAGGCGGCCATCAGGCAGTCCAGAGTCTTGGTCTGGTTGTCCACGCGGCAGCGGTGCTGCACGGCCAGCGCCTTCCAGTGCTCCATGTTGAGGCGCTCATAGAAGTAGCAGGCGATCACACAGGTGGCCGGCACGGTATACAGCACCGAGAACACCCCGATGCGCACCATCAGTTTCTCCAGCTTGTCCGTGTTCTCCCCGCCAGTCTTCATCACCCTGCGGATGTGGAACAGGGCCACGAAGCCTGACAGGATGAAGGACGTGCCAGCGAGCAGGTAGCAGAGCAGTGGCACCAGCACGAAGCCTGTCAGGGCGTTCACATCCATGCTGCCCACATAGCACACGCCGGTGAGCTCGTCGCCCGCCACCCTGCGCATGACCAGGATGAGGATGGTCTTCACGGCCGGGATGGCCCAGGCTGCCAGGTGGAAGTAGCTGCTGGTGGCCTCGATGGCCTCATGGCCCCACTTCCTGCCAGCGGCCAGGAACCAGGTAAGTGTGAGGACCACCCACCAGAGCGAGCTGGCCATGCCGAAGTAGTAGAGCACCAGGAAAACCAGAGTGCAGCCCGTGCTCTCCAGCCCCTCCTGGATGACATAGAGCTGGCCACTGTCTCTGTCGCGCGCGATGCTCTCGGCCCCTGCAAAGAGGCGGATGATGTAGCCCACGGAGTACACGCAGTAGCACATGGACAGGAAGATGATGGGGCGCTCCGGGTACCTGAAGCGCGCGGGGTCGATGAGGAAGGTGAGAACAGTGAAGGCGCTGGAGAAGAAGCAGAGCACCGACCACACGGCCAGCCAGACCACAGCAAAGCGCTTGTCCGCCCGGCTCCAGTACACGTCCACGCCGGGCGAGCAGAGCGGCGCGCACGACGCGCTCTTCTCCACGTGGTGGAACTTGCCCGGGTTGTCGCAGCCCGCGCGCCCCGCGGCCCCGTCCTGGGCCGAGTGCTCCTGCGCGCCGCTGCCTGGGGGCCGCTGCGGCCGGAAGAGTGGCGGCAAGAGGCCGGCGCCGCGGCTGGGCTCCTCGGAACCGTTGCTTGGCGCCTCCATGCACAGGTAGTTGGGGTCGTTCTGGCTGGGCAGCCGGCTGCAGTCCAGCGAGTCGGGCCACCTGAAGTGGAACTGCTCCATGATGGGCGAGCACTTGAGCCGGGCCTGCTCGCACATGATGCGACAGGCGGGGATGGGCGCGGAGACCTGCTCGGTGCACATGGGCGCGTAGAGCGAGCACAGGAAGAAGCGCAGGTGTCCGTGGCAGCCGTATTCCACCAGCGGCGCGAACTCGTGCAGCCGGATGGCCGCCTCGCGCTGGTTCTCGTGGCCCATCAGGTTGGGCATGCGCGTGCGGTTGTAGCCGATGTCCTTGCACATGGGGATCTCGATGGGCTGGCACTGGCCGTCGCTTGCGCGCTCCAGGTCCACCGAGCCTATGGCGGCGCACGAGCCCAGGACGTGCAGCGCGAGCCACAGGCGGGGCGCTGGGCGCGGCATGGCGAGGTCCGGGGCGCCCCCGCGGGGAC